GAATGGTTCCAACTTTGTAAAACTCATCGACCTTTGAAGGCGTTTCGATCAGTCATGTCATGTGAAATTGACCAAGGAATGGAGGCTAGATTGGAAAGTCAATTACAGAATATTGATGAGGGAAGTGTAAAGCAGGAATTAAGAAGAATACTCTTACGTTTTTCCGAGCTTTGGCGAGATGATAGCATGGGAAGAACGTCTGTAATACGACATGCCATTCACGTAATCTCGAATCGACCAATAGCTTGTAGATGTCGAAAATACTCAGAAGAACAGAAGAAGATCATTGAGACAGAAGTGAAGTCGATGCTAGAGAAAGGGGTTGTACGCCCTAGTGAAAGTCCGTATGCCTCTGGCATTGTTTTAGTAAAGAAGAAGACTGGAGAGTGGCGGTTCTGTATTGATTACAGCCCACTCAATAAAATAACTTTGAAGGACGAATTTCCTCTTCCGAGGATAGACGACCTATTACGAACGGTCAGGGGATCTAAGTGGTTTATTGCACTGGATATGAGAGCCGGTTACTGGCAAGTAGCCATGGAGACCAAAGATATCCCGAAGACAGCATTCAAAACACCCAATGGATTGTTCGAGTTTACAGTTATGCCGTTTGGACTCGTTAACGCGCCAGCGACTTTTCAGAGAATGGTTGAGCAGTTATTCGGAGATCTCTGTTGGGACGGGGTCTTGGTTTATTTAGATGACATATTTATACATGCACCAGAGTTGGAGAGGGTCCTGCAACTTCTAACCATCGTCCTGTCACGACTTCAACGGGCTGGTTTACGGTTAAGGCTCTCTAAGTGTTCATTTCTTCCGACTCAGATTGAATACCTAGGCCATGTGATTCAAGAAGGCAAATTGGCTCCACAACCGAAGAAGATTGAGGCATTTAAGGTTTTAACCTCTCCAGTAGACAAGACCACTCTCCGCCAAGCTTTAGGAATGTTCGGTTACTATCGGAGTTTCATCCCTAACTATGCTGCGCTAACGATCCCACTCACAAGATTGATGAAAGGCAAAGCGGAATTTGTATGGGGAACAGAACAAGAAACAGCATTTTTACAGCTCAAGGATAAGCTTGGAAAGGCTGTTTTATCAAATGAATGGCAGGAGGGCGAGATCATCGTAGAAACCGATGCTAGCGACTACGCCGTTGCTGGAGTTCTCTCTTTCGACAAGGAGGGAATGATTGTTCCTGTGGAATTTATGAGTAAGACGCTATCAGAAGTAGAGCAGCGGTGGCCCACAAGAGAGAAGGAGGCTTTCGCGATTGTCGTAGCACTAAGGAAGTTTGATACATTTTTGCGTGGAAGAAGAGTTACAGTGTTCACCGACCACAAGAGTTTACAAT